ATTAAAGGAATTTACTTATTTGCAAGCATATTCAAATTAGTAAGCATATTGTAGTGCATATTTATTGAAGATTAAAAGTTAGGGACACAGATGAGTTTTATGAAATAATATAATTTACTACTGCTTTTGAAAAACAAGTTAAGGCTATTTCCATAATTCTGCAACACAAATTTTTAACTTGACGACAAGAGGAAATGATTTATACGAGTTTCTCAGGCTGGTTTAAATATATCTCTTATATGGACCACCGGGAGGGAAATATTGAAATTCCTTCCCTACACAAGGATGCAAATTCAGCTTGAATATTTTATGCTGAAGAACTTTCTTAATTGCTTGCGACTTTGTGTATGAAAAACATATTTATTATGATATCAAATGAATACTTTAAAATAATCACAGAGCAAATTGTATGGCAGCGTACACATTTTGCACCTTTATAAAAAATAATTCTGCTATTTGCATTTGTATTTTTTGTCGTGTAGGCTAAAAATAAAGTTATTATTTATACTGTAATTATATACAAAGTTTTTTCTTCGACATTACAACTCAGTATAAATGTAGAAAGCTGTATGCAGCCAGTTTCAATATTTCTACTAGCAAAAATTATCCTAAATCATCAGTGAACTATAAAAACAAATATACGTGACGTTCTGACTTTAAATTTATACTTCAAACATTACTAACTTAATAAAAATAGTGTTTGTAGATAAGTGTTATATAGTTTAATATTACAAGTAAAACAATTCTTTGAGTATTATTATGCTTGCAACTCTGACAATTGCGTATTAAATTTTGTTGTTTCTTAAAGTTTGTATGATATTTGTAGTTTTGGCCTGAATATCGTTCTTCGCTTAAACTTACCCTTAGTTTACAACACACATATTTGTATATTCTATTAAGTTTTTTTGTGTGTATATAAAAAACAATTGGGTTCGTTGCCAGCCCAGTGGTTAGCGCCTCGGACTTCGGTGATGGAGGGACGGGATCATTTCTCGGCGCATCCACAAACCTTTAATAGATTTGAACCGCATTCCCTTGAAAGTATTTGACCTAAACCATCTTTTACTTGAATTAAAACGCCACTGGCGTAGAAAAAGAATTATGTTTCAAGATTATGATAATGTCTCCTTACAATAATGTTATAGGCCTGCCTTCTGGAAGGAAGTAAAATAGTTTCGGATATACATATTATGTTCATTTTTAATTCAATACTTTGAAAAATAAAAATACCCGCGCCGCAACAAATCTGCTGAATAATAAAACGCCCACTAAAATATTCCATTGAAAATGATAATGATATATTGATTTCTTACGTAAATAACATGAATGTCAATAAGTAATTAAGTTTTCCGCTACAGAGAAGGTAAGTAATAGTTTTTATTAAAATGTTAATAAGATATTTTGTATCATTATATTTTTATATGAAACCACGACTCATACAATTGCGCGGCAATATACTGAATTAAATTTTTCGTTAAGCTTCACAAAATGGTTTGGAAAGAAATTGCTAAGCTTTATAGCTAAGCTTCATCTAGATCGGGAAGAAGCAATGTTTACCTCCAAAAAACCCGTTCCTGTAGCCTAAACATGATGGTTCGTGAACTCGTTGGAATAGAGGTAGTTTTACACGTTTTTAACTAATTGCATGTATGTATACTATGTATGAATTCAAATAAACTGTGTTTTCGACCTCTGGGAAAATCACAATTGTTTAAGGATGAACGAAAATATATTAATGGAGTTAAACAGTTTAACTTCAACTGAAATTCTGCTTTCAGTTTCAGGCAGTTAACCAAAGTAGCAGATATGATAGCAGCGTTGTTTACAAAACAAACCAAATGTAACAAATAGATCAAATTAAAAGGCAAATGTGTACGAAAAGTAGTATTCAAATAATTTTCAATCTCATGTATCAAAAGAGAACTCAAAAGAATTAATACAGAATAAACCACGTATAACATTTAGAATTTAATTAAATGGTTTGTACTTAACAAAAATTGAAGTTGAGAAAGGGATATAATTTTTTTACATTTAGACATTTACCAGTCTAATAAAATTGGCACGTGTTTTGTGTACGAAACCTTATGCTTTCGATGTTCACTTATTGAGTATAACTATCCACACTATTTATTTGTTTTACAGGTTATTACATTACATTACTCAATTTACTGGCCAATCAAAATTGTGCGTTTTGAAATAAATGAATAAATCTTCCGGTATATCTAAAATGTTTACTCATCTATTATACAAAAGATGATCAGAGTGCAGAACCGTTTTAGAACAGCACTACCATCCAAACTTGCCAAAAACTGCATCGATCATAACCATAAGTCAACCTAGTTTTGCAACCAAACCTTTATGGCCACATTATCTAGCAAGAGCTTTGAAGTTATATCCACATTATCATTTATTTTCTACTACTGCATTTTAAACTAAAATACATGATACTAAATAATATCTTCAAATTAAATTTTGAATATTTTTAAATCCTAAACATAATCATAATAAATTCCAATTTCATTTTTTTTATTACTTTTTTTATTATTACACAGCTGGACTGAACAAGGCTCGCCTCGTAATCCAAAGGGTATCTCTTTGGTCAATGCAGGTGCTTTTCAATGGTTCGTATCTGGGTCTAGCTGTCATTGTTAATTAGAAATCTCAATTTGTATGGTTACTAATCATTACGTTGAGTAAAAATTAAATACTCTAATAACCAATACAGTATTTCTCTTCACAATCATTTAGTTTAAAATACCCCCGTCACAGAAAACCTGCAGACTAAGTAAATTTCTTTATCCGGCCTGATTTCCACTTAAATATTCCCTTGAAGTAGTCAAATTTATTTCATACAAATAATATAACATTAATTTTAATAAGTTCTAAGGACTCCTGTTTATGTATTATTCTATTCAATGCTATTTTTTTGTAGCTGAGGAATCTATTTATTTATAATTTTGTGATACCGACTGTTTATTCTTTTACTTTAGGTTAGTGGTTTGTTTGGTAAACGTGTAATCCTCCATTTAATTGTGGACTATTAGGCGATTTTGGTTTGTGATTGTTTAAGTATATAACAGGCTTTAAAATATACTGTATTTTAAGGCCAAAAGTGTTTATTTATTTTCCCTTGAAATTTAAATATTCATTCAGTTAAACGTTTAGTTTAAATAATACTACATCCCTATCAATCTTATAACAATATTATCATGGAAATTCTATCACTAGGAATTGTTCAATACCCAAATCAATATATTCTTTGAACCAATTGAATGTACACCAAACAAAAATGTCAAGAAATGGCCTTCCTCCATGAACCCCCAATTTCACTAAAAGCTTCGTCAAAGTAAAATGCCAGTGGGGAATATAAATTGTAGAATTAGAAGGCTAGCAGTCAGTCTTAAACTGGTACCAGGTTAGGAAAAGAACATTTAATCAAAAAATCTACCACAACGTTCGTTCATAGATGATGTATGGATGATTTTTCGAAGATGATGCGTTATTGATGATGAAGTGTTATTTGCTCAATGTTTTAGGGGTTCACCTGATATTGTTTGAAAATATTGTAACATATTTTATATTTATGGGTGATACGGATTAACCCTTATAAAATAAATAACTAAAGCTGACCACCATTTTCAAAACAGTTAGCTTTTTAACCTGTGTTTTGAAGACGTCTCTTTGTAAAAGGTCCAGAAGTATATTTTCATGAGTACGATCTTTGAAAACAGCTGTGAAGTAAACTATGCCATTTAAGCTTCAAGTATCGTCGATATGACGGAAACTTTGGCCTGTCGCCACACCCAACTTTGCTAACTATTTATTTTATGGCCAGTTTCCTGCTTCACAAAATAATTTTAAGGAAATTGAGGTGGAAAAATATTAATTGGAAAATGTTCAAAAAACAACACATTTTGTGCTGATGACGAAGTAATTATTTACATATTTATATAGATAATTACATTGCTTATTACATTGTTATTACATTGCTTATTACATTGTTATTACATTGCTTATTACATTGTTATTTCATAGACGCACTTTGGGATTGGGATTAGTGCTTAATTATCCCTCTAGCAAGATGGATTCATTAGCTTACAGCTGGATATTATTTACCAAAGAAGCTATGAATTATTTGTATAATGCTATTGAGCACAATCCCTAACGGTAGTGAAAACAAGTGAATACAATATAAATGAATTAGTTTTCTCATTTACATATATTGGAGAAATGTTTTTCGTTTCTAATCTAACGTGTTATTGGACATTAGTATTTCTTGAATATTAAGAGTAAAGTGAATTTGTACATACAGCTTCTTAGAAATTTTCCAAAATACGATGTAGGTATTGTTATATTGGCCAATTATTAAAATGTGAACCTTTAGATTGATAATTTAAGATCGAACTAAGGAATTTCAATATTCTACTTAAATTTAAAAAAATACTGATATTTGAAAGCTGTTGATATTTTTGTTCTGTACAATTAAAGCAAATATTATTTTGTAATTGCTGTTTAATGTTAGTCTATCATGACTTGATGAACTAGCTACCGGTGTCACGTTATAAGTTGAGGAAAAGCTAATATTTTTATATTCATCATTGAAATGTGGGGAACATAATTACAAATTTTTGTGATTCAGGCGGCCAGAAATTTAAGGTCGTATTTATTGACCAAGTTTAGTGGCTAAACTTATTTATATAAATAGGTCCACAATAAAAATTGTATCTGTTAAGTTTTAATCACACATTAAATTACTAATGAAGTTATAGATTTTACAAAATGTATGCAACAATTTCACTTCTAGTCAAAAACCTAAGTAAATTATTGTGTTACGAATCTATGTCAGCTATAAGATATAGGCCTACACAATTTCCTATTTATCATTGTTAAATATATTTTAAAAAACATTCCGATTCATATAAACTAGACGTACATTAAAACCTTAGTAATTATTATAATAAACTGGAAGCTTACGAATGCAATCTCTTATAAATAATTACCATATTAATATGTAGCCATGGTCCATAAAATTAATACGGCAGCGGCATGACCGAACACGTCCGTTAAGCACGAAGTCGCACAGTCGAATGACAACCAACACGACACGCGCGCTCACTGGTGGACCAGCCGAGAACTGACTAATAGATCAGCTGATCAGCCCCACTACTGAAAACTGACCTGAGCACACATGGGCTGGAAGTGGGGGTGAAAATTAATCGCGTATTCCACGTATCCATCTTGACACAATGAATTGAATTCAATCCAATTGTAATTTGGAATCGTCTGTGAGGATTCCATCATTAACAGATACAAATATTCACAATTTTAACATTTTTGAATGGTATTGCTACAAAAAAGAGAATTAATCCAGGATAAATTATCTTGCCTTTAGTAGTACACTTTGAAAATAGAATCCTGTAAGCCCTCCCGCATCATCAACATTTAAGGTCAGTTTGTACATCAAATGTTAAATGATTGCATTTAAAAGTCCTAGTATTTTTGAAGATTAATTGTGTTTTGGTTCTCACTACGATTGATTTTGCTTCATTTTGTTATAAGATTTCTTTATGTTGAGTCTTTAAATTATTTCCTGGAGGTATGAGGAAATAAGAATGAAATTCGTTGGGGCCTCACTAATTTAACCTACTAATTAAAAACTCATACTTAAAACTTACAATTTATAACTTCAACGTTATTTACAGATTAAAACTGTTCATTACATAAATGTACAAAGCTAATTTTTGTAAAGTACCGAACAACCATTGGGATCTCCACTGCAATGACAGTCTTGGCAGCAGCTGTGTTTGTCATAACATATTTCTCCTGGGGCTTCTTGCTCTTCGTTATTGTCAAGTCAATTTCCAAAATAAATTCCTCGTCCATCATTCTTTTTTTAACATTAACTTTACATTATGTAGGCACGTACTTAAAAACTGAAATCGATTGCCATAATTGTTCATTTTTAACTAAACACATTTGCAAATATTTAATTTTATAATTTATTGAGGACATCTGGTGTATGGATTATATCACGCAATTAACTGTAAACTCCTAATACTTTGGATACAATTGACAACCAGGGTTTGTATTTGGTGTGAAAGATTTGAATAATCATATTACATCGGTTTAGTTTATTATTATTGGGCATATTTTATTGTTTCGTAATTTTATGAGCTTATATTATTAATAACTGGGCTAAAGAGATTTTTTTTTTTATCACAGAATTATTAACAGCATAATTGTAAGGTTACTAACTTTGAGACGTTAAATATCAACATAAAAAATATCACACACTTATGTAACATCGCTATGTATCATTGTGTTTATTCTTTGCTTGTAGTGAGAATTAAGAGGTTCCCAAATAAACATTCACTCACAATCATTACCAGCTTACTTTTAAAAGCATGAGTATCTAACTGGGGAGGAAAAGTGACAAAGAATGTTATACATCAAGATGACATTCTACACATGAATTATTGAGTAACCACACAATGTGCAGCTTATTCCAATATGTAGACTAATTAATTGGTCCTCTGGAGATGAATTGTCACCTATAAAATATAGCAATACAATGTATGTCTATATCTTTAGTATGCCAGCACTGCCAATCATAAATCGATTACAAACAAGCTAAGTTTGTAGATCTTAGTACGCTAAGCTCAGCTAAGTCTAAGACTTCGACCGGCCTATCAGCGTACAGGCCACGATCACGTCATTCATCAAAGTCCTGGAGTTATTACACTGCCAACCAGAGGATATCATCTCAATAACAAGAACTTTACAAAGTTTAAGTCGGTACTGCAAAAAGTCAATATCTGGAGGACTGAGTTTGTATAATAATACATTGAACATGTTGGATATATTAAATTAATGTACGATTTGTTGTACTGTTTTATTAAAGAACTTATGTTTGGATATGCTATCTTAAAATGAAGTGGATAAAGAATTGATCAGGAAGTACTGTAAGTATTAATCTTAAGTTCTATTAATTCTGTACAATAGATGAGCCTCATGAAGGACAGAGATGTGATACTAAATTATTGTTTGGAAGAAGAATTCAATAATTTGTAGTATTTAAGTAGTATTTAGTAGTATTCAAATTATATTTTACTACCTCCTTTAGGCTTAAAAACATATTATTGTTTATATTTTTGAGGAAGTACAAATAATTTAAATCACTATAAATGTTGAGTTCAAAGATAAGGTCGTTAATAGTCAGTTGCCAAAGCGATTTTTTTGTAGTTTATATGTTTTTAAGACTGTAGTTTGTTTAGTTTGAAAAACATGTTAAATTTCATAGCTGAAATTAGTTTTTAAAAGCATTTACAGCACTGAGAAATACTGAACTAAAAAAAAAACTTTTGCAAATGTTAGTTTGGAAACATTGTCCGTCAAGGTAACTAAGGAAATAATATCCTACTAGTGTACATGTTGCTCGAAATCGAGCAATTGCAAAGAAGTAAAGTAATTACAGTATTTAAAAACAAATAATTAACTTATTTAAAAGCGAATAAAAGTCATAATTTCCGATGAGTTTAAAAGACTCAGCTCATAGATTACGTGACTAACAGTTACATATAATCAACATTTCTAGTAAATATTTGATCATTTTTCAAAAGCTGATCTGGTTTTTTAGTGTATTCTACATATCATTCCCACTTATAGCCGCATTAGGTGGTCCAGGTTGATCTTCGTCAATGATGATGTAGTCTGCATAGTACTACCCGTTGTCGCTAGTATGTTTACAAATTTCAGTAATTTTTTATAGCGATGACATTTTGTTTACATTACTTAAGAACTGCCTGTTTTTCTGCATAACCTCTCTGTCATAATTTTATTTGCTTCAATTTTTGGCTACCTAGTTACTGTTATAACGTAAGTTATATTTACCTGAAAAAAATGCAGAATTGAAAGGCCAAATGTCGTTCAGATGGTTTTTTGTTTCCCTTAAATGTGAATAATGCAAATCCTTCAGTGAAAGTTTTATTAAGGTTTCTTGGATGTAGTCATATTATTTTAAAATCACTTGACTTTTATTAAAACATATATTTAATGTCCTTGCCGTACCAGTTTAATTCAGCCCTAGAGTGTTTTCCTTTGCCGATCATCATAAAGTTAAGTCAGTGTTTACTACAAAATAGTAACACTTTGGCTAACATCCCTGTTCATTGTTTGTGGGAATCTTCATCTTGTAAATGCTCTTCATTATTTAGGATGATAACGATTGTAAATGTTTTTTTTAATCTCTATTTTTTCTACTTGGTGGTGTTCTATGACTCCTATGTTTCCATGGTAAAAAATCGGTTCTTTCAATTATTGATCAAAAATTCAGTGCCCTGTCAATTAATTTTTATTTTTTGGTAAAATATATCAAATTGCCCAGGCTTTCTCGATTTTTTACATTGTATTTAATTTCAACCAAATCAGTAAATGTAACCTATGCGTTTCGTTGAATTGGAAAATAAATAACAGCAATTAAATTATACAGCTGATCAAAATGTAAACAATTATGTTCTTCATAAGGATAACATGGGAACTTTCAAAGCCACTGGGGCAGAGCCCAAGGGGCTTTTTCGAAAATGTAAGGCCAGTTTGCAAATCTACGCGACACGCTCTTTCCAATGAGACGTCAATGGATAAAATCGGTTAAGAAATGGCGAAGGAGTTCAACCGACAAAGTTTCATGTAGCGTATTAATTATATAGATGAAGAATGTATGTTATTGATTTACTAATCTAATGAAAATTGTTTGTATTAATATTTGGAATAATATAAAAGCTTTCATTGATAATTTTCAATCTAAAATATAATTTCTCAGTTACACACAGTGGAAATATTCGTAAATATTCGCCTACCGTATTCACCCTTTGCTAACAAATATCCACAGAGAGAAGCACTCTGTCAGTATTGTTTACGATACTATTCTACAAACACTCAATTTGAAGTGGCTCGGTTCAATACGTTGAATATTCAACTGTTCAACTATATTTTTCATGTTAGCGCATTGATTTGAAACAATTTATTGCAAAAACCATTGCAGGATATCGACTCTTGGTGAATCAGTTTATTGTGAAAAAATCAAACCATCGGTTATCACTCAAGAATTCAATGTATTTAACTATTAATATGTTGTTTTTCAATACCCTTTTTACGTTTTAGAAGAAAAAAAAACTTGATGTATGTGTATATTTATTACATTTATATTTCTTTAACTTTTGTGCTTACTGATTGGCGTCCTGTTTTACGCATTAAATAGGTAAGCTGTATCCATAAATATACATACACGAGATTTTACAGGTAGTATTTCAATAATTTACTTTTGAATGGACAGGGTTTATCTTAAGGACGTGTGTACATTTATCTTTTATTTTGTACATTCTTAAGATAATGTGTTAAAAAAAAAATTAAAACTGATATTTCGATTGATGCTCAAGGTTTCTGACTTTCAAATTTAAAACATAGCTTTGCAGCATATATTTTACAGTGCCTGTGTATACGAGAAAGGTTTGAGAGACAAACTCGAAATGTCTATCAAATAGTCAACAACAACAATATGTACCAAAAATAATAAAACAAGTGTAAATTCCTGTTATTAGTTTTAAACAATAGTTTCCCTATAGAAGCGGCAAACAACAGAAATTATTATTAAGCAATTAAGTCTCGGGAGATTAAAGTCAATTGGAGAGCGTCGGTCTTGAGGTTTCCATTGAAAGAGTTAATCAAACATTCCTGTTGTTAATTACTGAACTATTTCATTAAAACGTATATAAGACTGGTTACATTTTACTGTCTCTTTAATAAAAAACTGTAATCAAATACTTTTATCAAATTAAAAAAATTACTAGTTATGTGCATAAAACGAATATTTATTTAAATTAAGCTATTGCCGAGGATTTGTTTCCACATAACTTTAGGCTAAGCCAGAGGCAGGGCATTATTACTTAGATAAAACCATTGGCGATATGTGGTATTTGAACCCAGGACCTGAGGGAGCGGAGTCCCGTACTCTACCACTAGACCAGCTCACTTTTTAAAACCAGTATATTATCGATAGTTACTGTGCAACTGTACTGTGCTGTGCTGTGCTGT